ATAATCTCACAACAGAGCTCTATAGCTGTGTGCTTTGTTACTTGTGCTGTATTAAGAAGGCTACAGTCCACTTGTAAGAGTATATTATACTTATATTATAAAAGACTATTATACAATTAGATTTTCATAAAGGGTGTAGTGACTTAGTAAAGTAGTTAAGTTATTATACTTTCAAGCAGTATGTTGACAAGTTGGAGATTCAAAACCTATTAATGATGAAAATTTTAAATTTTTGCTTATACAATAGCTACTATCTTTCAATAATTATTATAGATTAAAATAAAATCTGATCAAAATGAAACTGAGAACCTCTTATGCTTACCTTTAAAGGCTATAAATCTATATATACTTATTTATTAATAAATCTAACCTTAAACTCTATCCTTAATGATAAAAAAAACCCAAAAAATGTTTTCCAAAAAATTTAAAATTTTTTTTAAAAAATAGAAAAATTTCGATTTGATCAGATTTTATTTTAGGATTTTATAATTTGCTGCTATAGCAAAATTCTGCCAGTCACCTAAAATCATATAATCTAATATAACTGATACAGTACATATAACTAAAAATAAATTAATTAAATTTAAAATAGCTATTATTTACTAACTATACCTAACTTTAACCTTACGGAAGTTGAGAAACAGAATAATAATCTCTACTCTAGACATATTTTAAGGATTTTTTACCTTATTGCCAAAATAAAAGAACTGATTTACAAGTCTTTGGGCGCATTTATTTGGTTTAAATACGATTGGCTATTTTAGAATATAGTTTGAGAAACCTAATTAATCTGGTATAGGGAATTGTTATATGTAATTAATAAGCAATATATTTAGTCACCGATTAGCAGCAGTCAAGTTTTGGAAAAAGATCAGTTTTTGCCTTGCAAGCTAAAAGTTATACAAAATTTGAATATGTAAGGTATAAAATACAAAGCACTGATTGCTTATTAAGTACAAAACTGCATTGTTAAAACTAAAGTTATAATTCGTAACTCAAAACTCTTGAGAAATAACAAGTTCAGCAACACACTTTATTGACTACTCAGATTAGTTTGATTATATTTTAAAAATCATACAGTTACTAACATACTACAAAATATAATATCAATATCAGATTGTTTATATTCTCATATTACACCAATCACGTTGCTATATCTTAATGATATTTTCTCATAGCCTTTAACGTTTTCTTCCAATCTTAATCATAATTTTAAATTGGACTAAAATATTGGGAAAGTAATTGTCAAGAACATGAATATAACCTAATTTTACTGTAATTAAATTACTCATCAAATATGTCAATGCATCAATAAAAATCTTGAAACTCAAGCAGACATGTATATATATAAATTGCTAATTACATAAAACAATAAGCAAACAAACTGAAAAAAACAAATTCTTACTAACTCATCTAATCACAAAATATAATTGTAATTGTAGTTTGTTATAACCTTTAAAGCTATATAATCATTAGTATTTTATAAGATAAAATCATTAAAATTTATTTAACAATATACATATCTTGCAAGCCTTTTGATAGTGACCAAGTATTTCATATTTTTTATATCACTATTAGTTCATTTTAACTTATGGTGCTTTATATACGGATTTGAAATGCTTTGTATATGCTGGTCGACCCTTGCTATGATGTACTTTTGGATTTTTAAAATGAATATCATTTTCTTTGTCATCAGTATCTACATCATCCATATCATGGTCATCATTGATACTGTTATCATCTTGTTAACTGTCCAAATCTGATTCATCACTCATATCAACAAATTCTTGAAGTAAACAAATTAATTGATGAGACTTTATACATTTTTGTAATGCTTTAGAAAGAGCCTTTTTATATATTTCATAAAGCTTTTCATAAATAACTTGTTGCTCTAAAATTGTTTGATTATTTTCTAATTTGTCTTTTCTGAGAACAGACAAATTTTGAACAGAAGAAAAACAAAGTAACTGATCTTGTATCTCATGATTAAACTTGTCTGCTACCAAAAATGGTTCTTCTATTTCATTTTCATTGGTACAAAACCATTGCAAGGATAATAATCGAATATGAAATTTTGCTTTACTTGTAACTAACATGACTTGAAAATAGTGTCTACACACAATGTCATGATAGATAGTAGACAGACAAGAACATAAATGAGACCTATTTTGTAATAATATAACATGATGCTTGGCTTTTAATGAATTGTCAGCATTAATAGCCCATATCTCATCAATATTGTCTGATCTAACAAACTTGATCATTTGTCTAAGAGTAGACTGTAAAACATCAGCATTATTTTCTTATAACTGCAAATCTCCATCATCTATAATTTTTATATTCTTTTCAATAATTTTATTAGCAATATAATACACTGATTGATTTATCTCATTTCGTTGAATTTTTAATATTATAGGAGTAAGAAATCGTTAAATACATTGATCAATTTTTGTGAACAAAAAATTAACCTTTTCTTGATTTTTTATTGTTGGAATTGCTAGTTTCCAAAACTTATATTCATTTTCTTTGTCTTGGATATCAAGCAATTTATGGATTTTGATTACAAGTTTATATAAGGAAATGTTTGAATTATAAATTAGCCGCTTTAAATATATATTAACTAATTTGATATACAACATAGCAATTATACCACTGGTAAACTTAAAATTAGTGAAATAGTGAGCCCAACAACTCTTTGATTTATATAAAAATTCCAAATAACTTTGAGCTCTTGAATAATCAGAGACAAGCTTCTTAAAACATTGTTAAAATTGTGCTTCATTTAAGCTATTGTGGCAATGGTAAAAATCTTCAAGAAACTTATAATAAGTTTCATTTAATGGTTTTCTTAAATTTTTATACAAATTTTGAGTAATATGATATGCATAATAGATTGAATATGTTGTTGTAAATACTTGACGAATGGTGGTATTGATAGCAGGATCAATATTAGTAAATATAACTAATAGTTGAATGTTAGTAGCTTTAACTATCTGCTAGAGTATTCAAGTATGTGATTTAAGACTTTCATCTGCAAGAAGCCCTTGCGCCAACAAAATATTCTAATAATTATTATCAAATCTGATGAACAAAGATAATGCTATACTATAACAATTGGTCTTATATGTAATATCATTAAGAACGCAATCTGAATATCTAACCCAATTTTCTATTTGTTCTAATTTCATCCAGAATAAATGTGTCAATGTATTATCTTCATTTCATCCTCGAAAAATAAATCAACGTGAATCATTATCTTTTTGTTAGTCAAGCCAGTTTGATATTTGGGCAGCATCATTAGATAAAGATCTAGCATTAGGCTGAAATTTTTGGATTGCACGATATAGATCTTTTAAGTAAATTGGATGTATTGGATATTTTCCTTCAAGAAATTTTCTTTGTACCATTATGCCGAACTTACAAAACATAGTCATAAACTTTATATCTTCAATCATTGAATTAGTAAATTTTTTGGCATCCTCAAACTCAATTAATTTAGAGTTGATTGGATGACTATGAGTGAATTCGATCTTGTTAACAATTATAAAACCCTCTGTGTTATTGACTTTCAGAAAAGAGGTATTAATTAAAAAAGGGCATTGCATCTTTTTTGTTTTAGTATTTTTATTAGAAGTTGAATCATATGAATGGCTGTGTTCACATAAAAAAGTTCGCTAACGAACAATATTACCATCACGTTGAACCTCCGTCTTTGACAAGATGAAACCCTTGTTCCTTAGCCTATTTTTAAGAAACCTTTCACATATCTCCCATGAGCAAAATCTCTTGCCAGAATACAAAGATGCAGACTCATCTTCACAAGCAGAAATCAAGAATTAACAAAATAATTAAATGATAAACATGAAGTTAAATACCAAATAATCCTACCTATTTCAACTTCTGATTTTAAATAATTAATTTCGTCAAAAAACTCATACCCATCTTAACTTTCATCTATTGTTTGAAAAGATACTAACTCTATACTACTAATGTCACAGGAAAATTTATATCCAGAACTTTTAGCCATTGTACTGTATGTAAAATGAATAAAAAGATAACATTAGTTATGACAAAGCACCAACACAGCAACTTCTAATTTCAAGTAACTATCATTAATCTGTTTGGCCAATTTACTTTAATTAACGATTCTCCAGTCAACTGAAGAATGATCATAGTAAAACGTGACGCGGTTCTATATATAAATTACTATA